TTGTATTGGTATCTCCTCAATTCCTGCTGTTGTCTTTCCTTTTGCATTGGTGTCTCCTCAATTCCTGCTGTTGTCTTTCCTATTGTATTGGTGTCTCCTCAATTCCTGCTGTTGTCTTTCCTATTGTATTGGTGTCTCCTCAATTCCTGCTGTTGTCTTTCCTATTGTTTTGGTGTCTCCTCAATTCCTGCTGTTGTCTTTCCTATTGTATTGGTGTCTCCTCAATTCCTGCTGTTGTCTTTCCTATTGTATTGGTGTCTCCTCAATTCCTGCTGTTGTTTTTCCTATTGTATTGGTATCTCCTCAATTCCTGCTGTTGTCTTTCCTATTGTATTGGTGTCTCCTCAATTCCTGCTGTTGTCTTTCCTATTGTTTTTATGTCTTCTCAATTCCTGCTGTTTTCTTTCTTATTGTTTTAGTGTCTCCTCAGTTCCTGTTAGCGTCTATCCAACTGTTTTAGTGTCTCCTCAATTCCTGCCGTTGTCTTTCCTATTGTGTTTAGGTATCATCAGTTCTTATTGTTGCCTTAAATGGCTTTTACGTAACGACTTTGTCATTGTGTGTTGACGATGCAGTATTTTGTTTCCATTTTAAAGCCAATTGAGAAAAAATACCGAATATATGAAAATTATGGTATTGTATTCTTGTAAATTGACATGGAATAGGTATTAATAGATCAAACTGTTTAGACCGAATACAGGGATGTGCCCGTTGGGTTTCAATACAGAATATAGAAAATGTATGAAAAGAGATTAATATAGGCAGGACGGAAAGGAGGGGATAATAGCGTAACGTTATGAAAACTCCGAAAATAATTCTTTAAACCAATAATTTCTATCAAAACATGAAAATATAATATTCATATTTTAGGCGGTTAGTAACATGTATTAAATGGCTAACAAAATATACTCAAATCCAAGCATTACGCATAATCATAATTGTACTTTTACCTAATTTTGTAAAAAAAAAAAAAAAAAAAAAACATTTTCATTATTTTGATTTCGTTTCTTTTCTAGGTGCTGCAAGTAGCTAAAACACCATGGGGAGTCACATTATTCAATGCATGCTGGTTTTAATTCTCTGTAACACTTTCTCTGTGGAGGCGGCGACGACTACACATTCTATGGGTGGCATGATGGCTCCACCCCGTGGCATGACATCAAATACTGAACCAGCAAGCTCAACGCCTGAAACAACAACACATTCTATGGGTGGCATGATGGCTTCACCCCGTGTCATGACATCAAATACTGAACCAGCAAGCTCAACGCCTGAAACAGCAACACATTCTATGGGTGGCATGATGGCGCCACCCCGTGGCATGACGTCCAACACTATACCAGCAAGCTCAACGCCTGAAACAACAACACATTTTATGGGTGGCATGATGGCTCCACCCCGTGTCATGACGTCAAATACTGAACCAGCAAGCTCAACGTTTCAAACGACTACACATTCTATGGGTGGCATGATGGCTCCACCCCGTGGCATGACGTCAAACACTGATACATCAAGCTCAACGCCTCCAACGACTACACATTCTATGGGTGGCATGATGGCTCCACCCCGTGTCATGACATCAAATACTGAACCAGCAAGCTCAACGCCTGAAACAACAACACATTATATGGGTGGCATGATGGCGCCACCCCGTGGCATGACGTCCAACACTGAACCAGCAAGTTCAACGCCTGAAACAACAACACATTCTGTGGGTGGCATGATGGCTCCACCCCGTGTCACGACGTCAAACACTGAACCAGCAAGCTCAACGCTTCAAACGACTACACATTCTATGGGTGGCATGATGGCTCCACCCCAAGGTATGACGTCAAACACTGATAAAGCAAGCTCAACGCCTCAAACTACAACACATTCTATGGGTGGCATGATGGCTCCACCCCAAGGTATGACGTCAAACACTGATACAGCAAGCTCAACGCTTCAAACGACTACACATTCTATGGGTAGCATGATGGCTCCAACCCAAGGTATGACGTCAAATACTGAACCAGCAAGCTCAACGCCTGAAACAACAACACATTCTATGGGTGGCATGATGGCTCCACCCCAAGGTATGACGTCAAATACTGAACCAGCAAGCTCAACGCCTCAAACGACAACACATTCTATGGGTGGCATGATGGCTCCACCCCAAGGTATGACGTCAAACACTGATACAGCAAGCTCAACGCCTCAAACGACTACACATTCTATGGGTGGCATGATGGCTCCACCCCAAGGTATGACGTCAAACACTGATACAGCAAGCTCAACGCCTCAAACGACTACACATTCTATGGGTGGCATGATGGCTCCACCCCAAGGTATGACGTCAAACACTGATACAGCAAGCTCAACGCCTCAAACGACTACACATTCTATGGGTGGCATGATGGCTCCACCCCAAGGTATGACGTCAAACACTGATACAGCAAGCTCAACGCCTCAAACGACTACACATTCTATGGGTGGCATGATGGCTCCACCCCAAGGTATGACGTCAAACACTGATACAGCAAGCTCAACGCCTCAAACGACTACACATTCTATGGGTGGCATGATGGCTCCACCCCAAGGTATGACGTCAAACACTGATACAGCAAGCTCAACGCCTCAAACGACTACACATTCTATGGGTGGCATGATGGCTCCACCCCAAGGTATGACGTCAAACACTGATACAGCAAGCTCAACGCCTCAAACGACTACACATTCTATGGGTGGCATGATGGCTCCACCCCAAGGTATGACGTCAAACACTGATACAGCAAGCTCAACGCCTCAAACGACTACACATTCTATGGGTGGCATGATGGCTCCACCCCAAGGTATGACGTCAAACACTGATACAGCAAGCTCAACGCCTCAAACGACTACACATTCTATGGGTGGCATGATGGCTCCACCCCAAGGTATGACGTCAAACACTGATACAGCAAGCTCAACGCCTCAAACGACTACACATTCTATGGGTGGCATGATGGCTCCACCCCAAGGTATGACGTCAAACACTGATACAGCAAGCTCAACGCCTCAAACGACTACACATTCTATGGGTGGCATGATGGCTCCACCCCAAGGTATGACGTCAAACACTGATACAGCAAGCTCAACGCCTCAAACGACTACACATTCTATGGGTGGCATGATGGCTCCACCCCAAGGTATGACGTCAAACACTGATACAGCAAGCTCAACGCCTCAAACGACTACACATTCTATGGGTGGCATGATGGCTCCACCCCAAGGTATGACGTCAAACACTGATACAGCAAGCTCAACGCCTCAAACGACTACACATTCTATGGGTGGCATGATGGCTCCACCCCAAGGTATGACGTCAAACACTGATACAGCAAGCTCAACGCCTCAAACGACTACACATTCTATGGGTGGCATGATGGCTCCACCCCAAGGTATGACGTCAAACACTGATACAGCAAGCTCAACGCCTCAAACGACTACACATTCTATGGGTGGCATGATGGCTCCACCCCAAGGTATGACGTCAAACACTGATACAGCAAGCTCAACGCCTCAAACGACTACACATTCTATGGGTGGCATGATGGCTCCACCCCAAGGTATGACGTCAAACACTGATACAGCAAGCTCAACGCCTCAAACGACTACACATTCTATGGGTGGCATGATGGCTCCACCCCAAGGTATGACGTCAAACACTGATACAGCAAGCTCAACGCCTCAAACGACTACACATTCTATGGGTGGCATGATGGCTCCACCCCAAGGTATGACGTCAAACACTGATACAGCAAGCTCAACGCCTCAAACGACTACACATTCTATGGGTGGCATGATGGCTCCACCCCAAGGTATGACGTCAAACACTGATACAGCAAGCTCAACGCCTCAAACGACTACACATTCTATGGGTGGCATGATGGCTCCACCCCAAGGTATGACGTCAAACACTGATACAGCAAGCTCAACGCCTCAAACGACTACACATTCTATGGGTGGCATGATGGCTCCACCCCAAGGTATGACGTCAAACACTGATACAGCAAGCTCAACGCCTCAAACGACTACACATTCTATGGGTGGCATGATGGCTCCACCCCAAGGTATGACGTCAAACACTGATACAGCAAGCTCAACGCCTCAAACGACTACACATTCTATGGGTGGCATGATGGCTCCACCCCAAGGTATGACGTCAAACACTGATACAGCAAGCTCAACGCCTCAAACGACTACACATTCTATGGGTGGCATGATGGCTCCACCCCAAGGTATGACGTCAAACACTGATACAGCAAGCTCAACGCCTCAAACGACTACACATTCTATGGGTGGCATGATGGCTCCACCCCAAGGTATGACGTCAAACACTGATACAGCAAGCTCAACGCCTCAAACGACTACACATTCTATGGGTGGCATGATGGCTCCACCCCAAGGTATGACGTCAAACACTGATACAGCAAGCTCAACGCCTCAAACGACTACACATTCTATGGGTGGCATGATGGCTCCACCCCAAGGTATGACGTCAAACACTGATACAGCAAGCTCAACGCCTCAAACGACTACACATTCTATGGGTGGCATGATGGCTCCACCCCAAGGTATGACGTCAAACACTGATACAGCAAGCTCAACGCCTCAAACGACTACACATTCTATGGGTGGCATGATGGCTCCACCCCAAGGTATGACGTCAAACACTGATACAGCAAGCTCAACGCCTCAAACGACTACACATTCTATGGGTGGCATGATGGCTCCACCCCAAGGTATGACGTCAAACACTGATACAGCAAGCTCAACGCCTCAAACGACTACACATTCTATGGGTGGCATGATGGCTCCACCCCAAGGTATGACGTCAAACACTGATACAGCAAGCTCAACGCCTCAAACGACTACACATTCTATGGGTGGCATGATGGCTCCACCCCAAGGTATGACGTCAAACACTGATACAGCAAGCTCAACGCCTCAAACGACTACACATTCTATGGGTGGCATGATGGCTCCACCCCAAGGTATGACGTCAAACACTGATACAGCAAGCTCAACGCCTCAAACGACTACACATTCTATGGGTGGCATGATGGCTCCACCCCAAGGTATGACGTCAAACACTGATACAGCAAGCTCAACGCCTCAAACGACTACACATTCTATGGGTGGCATGATGGCTCCACCCCAAGGTATGACGTCAAACACTGATACAGCAAGCTCAACGCCTCAAACGACTACACATTCTATGGGTGGCATGATGGCTCCACCCCAAGGTATGACGTCAAACACTGATACAGCAAGCTCAACGCCTCAAACGACTACACATTCTATGGGTGGCATGATGGCTCCACCCCAAGGTATGACGTCAAACACTGATACAGCAAGCTCAACGCCTCAAACGACTACACATTCTATGGGTGGCATGATGGCTCCACCCCAAGGTATGACGTCAAACACTGATACAGCAAGCTCAACGCCTCAAACGACTACACATTCTATGGGTGGCATGATGGCTCCACCCCAAGGTATGACGTCAAACACTGATACAGCAAGCTCAACGCCTCAAACGACTACACATTCTATGGGTGGCATGATGGCTCCACCCCAAGGTATGACGTCAAACACTGATACAGCAAGCTCAACGCCTCAAACGACTACACATTCTATGGGTGGCATGATGGCTCCACCCCAAGGTATGACGTCAAACACTGATACAGCAAGCTCAACGCCTCAAACGACTACACATTCTATGGGTGGCATGATGGCTCCACCCCAAGGTATGACGTCAAACACTGATACAGCAAGCTCAACGCCTCAAACGACTACACATTCTATGGGTGGCATGATGGCTCCACCCCAAGGTATGACGTCAAACACTGATACAGCAAGCTCAACGCCTCAAACGACTACACATTCTATGGGTGGCATGATGGCTCCACCCCAAGGTATGACGTCAAACACTGATACAGCAAGCTCAACGCCTCAAACGACTACACATTCTATGGGTGGCATGATGGCTCCACCCCAAGGTATGACGTCAAACACTGATACAGCAAGCTCAACGCCTCAAACGACTACACATTCTATGGGTGGCATGATGGCTCCACCCCAAGGTATGACGTCAAACACTGATACAGCAAGCTCAACGCCTCAAACGACTACACATTCTATGGGTGGCATGATGGCTCCACCCCAAGGTATGACGTCAAACACTGATACAGCAAGCTCAACGCCTCAAACGACTACACATTCTATGGGTGGCATGATGGCTCCACCCCAAGGTATGACGTCAAACACTGATACAGCAAGCTCAACGCCTCAAACGACTACACATTCTATGGGTGGCATGATGGCTCCACCCCAAGGTATGACGTCAAACACTGATACAGCAAGCTCAACGCCTCAAACGACTACACATTCTATGGGTGGCATGATGGCTCCACCCCAAGGTATGACGTCAAACACTGATACAGCAAGCTCAACGCCTCAAACGACTACACATTCTATGGGTGGCATGATGGCTCCACCCCAAGGTATGACGTCAAACACTGATACAGCAAGCTCAACGCCTCAAACGACTACACATTCTATGGGTGGCATGATGGCTCCACCCCAAGGTATGACGTCAAACACTGATACAGCAAGCTCAACGCCTCAAACGACTACACATTCTATGGGTGGCATGATGGCTCCACCCCAAGGTATGACGTCAAACACTGATACAGCAAGCTCAACGCCTCAAACGACTACACATTCTATGGGTGGCATGATGGCTCCACCCCAAGGTATGACGTCAAACACTGATACAGCAAGCTCAACGCCTCAAACGACTACACATTCTATGGGTGGCATGATGGCTCCACCCCAAGGTATGACGTCAAACACTGATACAGCAAGCTCAACGCCTCAAACGACTACACATTCTATGGGTGGCATGATGGCTCCACCCCAAGGTATGACGTCAAACACTGATACAGCAAGCTCAACGCCTCAAACGACTACACATTCTATGGGTGGCATGATGGCTCCACCCCAAGGTATGACGTCAAACACTGATACAGCAAGCTCAACGCCTCAAACGACTACACATTCTATGGGTGGCATGATGGCTCCACCCCAAGGTATGACGTCAAACACTGATACAGCAAGCTCAACGCCTCAAACGACTACACATTCTATGGGTGGCATGATGGCTCCACCCCAAGGTATGACGTCAAACACTGATACAGCAAGCTCAACGCCTCAAACGACTACACATTCTATGGGTGGCATGATGGCTCCACCCCAAGGTATGACGTCAAACACTGATACAGCAAGCTCAACGCCTCAAACGACTACACATTCTATGGGTGGCATGATGGCTCCACCCCGGGGCATGGCGTCAAATACTGAACCAGCAAGCTCAACGCCTCAAACCACTACACATTCTATGGGTGGCATGATGGATCCAACCCGTGACATGACGTCAAATACTGAACCAGCAAGCTCAACGCCTCCAATGACTACACATTCTATGGGTGGCATGATGGCTCCACCCCGTGACATGACGTCAAATACTGATACAGTAAGCTCAACGCCTCAAACGACTACACATTCTATGGGTGGCATGATGGCTCCACCCCAAGGTATGATGTCAAACACTGATACAGCAAGCTCAACGCTTCAAGCGACCATCCATTCTGTCGGTGGCATGATGGCTCCAACCCGTGTCATGACGTCAAATACTGATGCAACAAGCTCTGCGTCTCATACGACTACACATTCTATGGGTGGCATGATGGCTCCAACCCAAGGTATTACATCAAACACTGATTCAACAAGTTCAACGTCTCAAACCACTACACATTCTATGGGTGACATAATTGCTCCACCCGGTGACATGACGTCAAATACTGATACAGCAAGCTCAACGCTTCAAACGACTACACATTCTATGGGTGGCATGATGGCTCCAACCCGTGGCATGACATCAAACACTGATGGATCAAGCTCAACGCCTCAAACCACTACACATTCTATGGGTGACATAATTGCTCCACCCGGTGACATGACGTCAAATACTGAAACAGCAAGCTCAACACCTCAAACGACTACACATTCTATGGGTGGCATGATGGCTCCAACCCGTGTCATGACGTCAAATACTGATACAGCAAGCTCAGCGTCTCAAACACTTACACATCCTATGGGTGGCATGATGGCTCCACCCCAAGGTATGACGTCAAATACTGAAACAGCAAGCTCAACGCTTCAAACGACTACCCATTCTGTCGGTGGCATGATGGCTCCCTTCCGTGGTATGACGTCAAATAATGATACAGGAAGTTCAACTACTGAAGCTTCCTCCTCTACCACTGATATATCTACAGTGACCACCAATACTTCCAAATATACTACTGAAGCTTCCTCCTCTACCACTGATATATCTACAGTGACCACCAATACTTCCAAATATACTACTGAAGCTTCCTCCTCTACCCCTGATATATCTACAGTGACAACCAATGCTTCCAGATATACTACTGAAGCTTCCTCCTCTACCACTGATATATCTACACTGACCACCAATACTTCCAAATATACTACTGATGCGTCTACATCTATTCCTTTTGATTCAACAGGTGCGACGGGAGACACTATATCAAACCCTAGATTTGCTGCAACTCAGGCTACTTCGTCATCCGACGATTCCCGATATGCCACCAGTGCATCAGCTACACATTCTATGGGTGGTATGATGTCACCAACTCATGCCACAACCTCGGCAACTGATACCACAACACCGGCAACTGATACCACAACCTCGGTAACTGCAGCAGTAACGCATTCTATGGGTGGTATGATGTCTCCAACTCATGCCACAGCCTCAGCCACTGATACCACAACCTCGGCAACTGCAGCAATAACGCATTCTATGGGTGGAATGATGTCTCCAACTCATGCCACAACCTCAGCCACTGATACCACAACCTCGGCAACTGCAGCAATAACGCATTCTATAGGTGGAATGATGTCGCCAACTCATGCCACGACCTCAACCGTTGAAACCACAACCTCGGCAACTGCAGAAAAAACGCATTCTATGGATCCCATGATGTCTCCTACTGATGCTACGATCCCAAACATTGATGTTTCAACTTCCACCGCTGAAACAACTAAATCTGCCACTGATTTGTCAACATCATACAATGAGGTTGCTTTATCCACCTCTGAAGCTACTACATCTTCCACAAATGTCTCAACGTTTACCAGTGAAGATACTTCAACCACAACAGATGTTTCTAATTCTACCAATGATGCTGAGTTTACCAATGAGACTGAATTTTCTGCCGAAAAATCATTTACCACCGAGGTTTCGTCAACTACTGAAGCTTCATCTATCTCCGAATATTCGTCAACTACTGAAGCTGTAGCTACCAACGAGTTTTCGTCAACTTCTGAAACTACATCCTCTACCACTGATGTATCTACATTAACCACCAATACATTTAAATATACTTCTGATGCGTCTACATCTATTCCTTTTGATTCAACAGGTGCGACGGAAGACACCATATCAACCCCTAAATTTTCTCCAACTCAGGCTACTGCGTCATCCGACGACTCCCGATTTGCGACCAGTGCGTCAGCTACGCATTCTATGGGTGGTATGATGTCTCCAACTCATGCCACAACCTCAGCCACTGATACCACAACCTCGGCAACTGCAGCAATAACGCATTCTATGGGTGGTATGATGTCTCCACCCCATGCCACAACCTCAGCCACTGATACCACAACCTCGGCAACTGCAGCAATAACGCATTCTATAGGTGGAATGATGTCTCCAACTCATGCCACGACCTCAACCGTTGAAACCACAACCTCGGTAACTGCAGCAAAAACGCATTCTATGGATCCCATGATGTATCCCACTGATGCCACGATCTCAAACACTGATGTCCCAACTTCCACCGCTAAAGCAACTATTCCTGCCATTGAATTGTCTCCATCTGTTACGGAGGTTGCCACTGAAGCTACTTCATCTTCTGCTTATGTTTCTTCATTTACCAGTGAAGATACTTCAACAACAACAGATGATTCCAATTCTACCACTATCGCATCATTTACCAATGAGAATGAATCTGCCGCTGAAGATACATTTACATCCGAGGTTTCGTCTACTATAGAACCTACATATAATACTGATGTTTCGTCAACTGCCGAAGCTACATCCTCTACCACTGATTTATCTACATTAACCACCAATACTTCCAAATATACCACTGACTCGTCTACGTCTATTCCTTTTGATTCATCAGCTGCAGCGGAAGATACAACAGCAACCCCTGAAATTCAACCCACTCATGCTACTCCTTCTTCCGATGATGCCCAAATTGCCACTACTGCAACCACTACACATTCTATGGGTGGTATGATGTCGCCAACTCATGCCACAACCTCGGCAACTGATACCATAACCTCAGCCACTGATACCACAACCTCGGCAACTGCAGCAATAACGCATTCCATGGGTCCCATGACGTCTCCCACTGATGCCACGATCCCAAACATTGATGTTTCAACTTCCACCGCTGAGACAACTAAATCTGCCACTAATTTGTCAACATCATACAATGAGGTTGCTTTATCTACCTCTGAAGCTACTTCATCTTCCACAAATGTCTATCCGTTTACCAGTGAAGAAATTTCAACCACAACAGATGTTTCTAATTCTACCAATGATGCCGAGTTTACCAATGAGATTGAATTTTCCGCCGAAGAATCATTTGCCACCGAGGTGTCGTCAACTACTGAAGCTACATCTATCTCCGAATATTCGTCAACTACTGAAGCTGTAGCTACCAACGAGTTTTCGTCAACTTCTGAAACTACATCCTCTACCATTGATGTATCTACATTAACCACCAGTACATCCAAATATACTACTGATGAGTCTACATCTATTCCTTTTGGTTCAACAGGTGCGACGGAAGACACTATATCAACCCCTAAATTTTCTCCAACTCAGGATACTGCGTCATCCGACGACTCCCGATTTGCAACCAGTGCATCAGATACGCATTCTATGGGTGGTATGATGTCTCCAACTCATGCCACAACCTCAGCCACTGATACCACAACCTCGGCAACTGCAACAAAAACGCATTCTATAGGTGGAATGATGTCTCCAACTCATGCCACGACCTCAACCGTTGAAACCACAACCTCGGCAACTGCAGCAAAAACGCATTCTATGGATCCCATGATGTATCCCACTGATGCCACGATCTCAAACATTGATGTCTCAACTTCCACCGCTAAAGCAACTATTCCTGCCATTGAATTGTCTCCATCTGTTACGGAGGTTGCCACTGAAGCTACTTCATCTTCTGCTTATGTTTCTTCATTTACCAGTGAAGATACTTCAACAACAACAGATGATTCCAATTCTACCACTATCGCATCATTTACCAATGAGAATGAATCTGCCGCTGAAGATACATTTACATCCGAGGTTTCGTCTACTACAGAACCTACATATATTACTGATGTTTCGTCAACTGCCGAAACTACATCCTCTACCACTGATTTATCTACATTAACCACCAATACTTCCAAGTATACCACTGAATCGTCTACGTCTGTTCCTTTTGATTCATCAGCTGCAGAGGAAGATACAACAACAACCCCTGAAATTCAACCCACTCATGCTACTCCTTCTTCCGATGATGCCCAAATTGCCACTACTGCAACCACTACACATTCTATGGGTGGCATGTTGTCTAAAACTCATGCCACGACTTCAGCCACTGTTACCATAACCTCGGCCATTGCAGCAAAAACGCATTCTATAGGAGGGATAATGTCTCCCAATGATGTCACGACCTCAATCACTGATGCCTCAACTTCCACCGATGAAACAACTATATCTGCCACTGATTTGTCCACATCATATAATGAAATTACTTTATCTACCCCTGAAGCTCCTACATCTTCCACAAATGCCTCTCCGTTTACAAGTGAAGATACTTCAACCACAATCGATGTTTCTAATTCTACCACTAACGCCGCGTTTACCAATGAGACTGAACCTTCCGAAGAAGAATCATTTACAACTGAGGTTTCGTCAACTGCTAAAACTTCATCTATCTCCGCATATTCGTCAACTACTGAAGCTGCATCTGCCGCAGAAGTTTCGTTTACTACTAAAGACACATCGATCACCGAAGTTTTGTCAATTTCTAAAGTTACATCTATCTTCGAAGATTCATCAACTATTGAAGCTGTAGCTACCAACGAGTTTTCGTCGACTACTGAAGCTACATACTCTACCACTGATGTATCTACATTAACTACGAATACATCCAAATATACAACTGATTCAACAGGTGCGCCGGAAGAAACTATATCAACCCCTAAATTTTCTCCAACTCGTGCTACTTCGTCATCCGGAGATTCCCGATTTGCGAACAGTGCATCAGCTACGCATCCTTTGGGTGGTTTGATGTCTCCAACTCATACCACAACCTCAGCCACTGATACCACAACCTCTGCAAATGCAGCAACAACGCATTCTATGAATGCCATGATGTCTCCCACTGATGCCACGATCTCAAACATTGATGTTTCAACTTTCACCGCTGAAACAACTGAATCTGCCAATGATTTGTCAGCATCATATAATGAGGTTGCTTTATCTACCTCTGAAGCTACTTCATCTTCCGCAAATGTCTCTCCGTTTACCAGTGAAGATACTTCAACCACAATCGATGTTTCTAATTCTACCACTAACGCCGCGCTTACCAATGAGACTGAATCTTCCGCCGAAGAATCATTTAGCACCGAGGTTTCGTCAACCACTGAAGCTTCATCTATCTCCGAAGTTTCGTCAATTACTGAAGCTACATCTTCTACCACTGATATATCTACATTAACCATCAGTACTTCCAACTATACTACAGATGCGTCTACATCTATTCCTTTCGATTCAACAGGTCCGACGAAAGACACTATATCAACTCCTGGAATTCAACCAACTCATGCTACTCCTTCTTCCGATGATGCCAAAATTGCCACCACTGCATCAGCTACGCATTCAATGGGTGGTATGATATCTCCAACTCATGCCACAACCTCAGTCACTGATACCACCACCTCGACAACTGCAGCAATAACGCATCCTATGGGTGGTATGATGTCTCCAACTCATATCACGACCTCAGCCACTGATACCATTACCTCAGTCACTGCAGCAAATGTACATTCTATCGGGGGAACGACGTCTCCCACTGATGCCACGACATCAGCCGTTGATACCACAACCTCCACCGCTGAAGCAACTGGATATCCCAGTAAAGCTACTGAATCTTCTACTTATGTCGCCTCATTTACCAGTGAAGATAATTCATCCATAACAGATTATACTTCCTCCTTAAATACAACCGAGTTTAAATCTACCGCTGAAGAGACATTTACCATCGAGGTTTCGTCATTTACTGAACCTACATCTACAACCAAAATTACGTCAACTATCGAAATTAAATCAGCGACCGAAGTTTCGTCAACTAGTGAAGCTAACACAGAAATCCCACCAAGTACTGAAGCTACATCATCTACCACAATTATGTCTACATTAACCACCAATACTTCTTCATTTGAAACTGATGCGTCTGCATTTATTACTTTTGATTCAACACCTGCGACAGAAAAATCTACAGTAACCGGTGAATTTTCTCGAACTCATGCCAAGTCTTCAAGTGATGCCAAAATTGCGTCAACTACATCAACTACACATTCTATTGATGGTATGATGTCTCCTACGCATGCCACGGCTCCAGCCACTGCTACAACAACCTTTGCTACTGCAGCCAAAAAACATTCAATGGGTGGTATGGTGTCTACCACTGATGCTACGACCACAACAATAGACACCACAACTTCTATTGCTGGGGCATCTTTATATGCCACTGATTTGTCAACATCTATTACAGAAGTTTTTGTATCTACCACTGAAGTTACTACATCTTCCAAACATGTGTCTCCGTTTACCAGCGACGATACATCAACTGCAACAACAGATTTTTCTACTTCTCCCTTTAAAGCAACATCTACCAATGATGATAAATCTACCACCGAAGATATATTTACCACCAATGATTCATTAAGTTCTGAACCAATATCTAGCACCGAAGTTTTGTCAACTACTGAAACTACACCCTCTACCACTGATGAATCTAAATCAACCACCAAAACTTACAAATATACTGCCGATACGTCCACATTTATTCCTTATGATTCAACGGAAGCTATTACAGCAACCCCTGAAGTTTTCAACACCCATACTACTTCGTCTTCCATTGATGCCCCAATTGTCACTACTGCATCAACTACGCATGCTATGAATGGGATGATGTTTCCAACTCATGCTACGACTTCAGTCACTGATACTTCAACCTCGGCCACTGCTGCAACAACGCATTTTATGGTGGGCATGATGACTCCTACTCATACAACGACCCCAGGAACTGGAAGATCGATTGCTACAACTGAGTCATCTACGCATTCTATGGGCGGCATGATGTCTCCAAATATTGTCACTCCCCCGTCCAAAGATTCAACATATGTCCCTACATATACGTCTGTTTTCTCCACATTAAAGATTGATCTCCCCCAATCTGCGACTGATAAGTTTACACCTACGACTGATGTATTCACCTCTTCGACACCTATCACCGATGTCACTTTATTTACAGTTGATGACAGAACGCTGCTAACTGATAGCACAATTTCTACCATTAAAAGCACCTCAACTCTTGTGATGTTGTCTTCTACTCAGGCCAAACCTGCTACAGCTGATTCATCGTTAGCTTCTTCTGACACAAGGATTTCTACCCCTAGGACATCAGCATCCATCGCTGAGGAATCGACCTCTTACACTGAGAAAGTAACATCTTCTATTAAGGAACCAACGTCCACCACTGACGCATTGACATCTACTGCTCAGGCACAATCGTCCATCACTGAGACATCGACGCCTACTACTGAAACAATGAAGTCTTCCACTGATAAATTGACATCTGAGATGCCGACGTCCACCACCGACACATTGACGTCTTTAACTGGACAGCAAACGTCTTTTACTGGGACTAGGATGTCTATCAATCAGGCATCGTTGTCTTCCACAGAGACAGTGCATTATTCTACCGAGAAAACGATGGGAGCGACGTCAACAACTGAAGTACAATCTTTGATGCCTGAGGGGGTTACGTCTTTCAAGGAGTCCACAATGTTCAACACTGGGGCGCCGACGCCTTCCACTGACACAATGGCATCTTCAACTAAGGCATTGTTGTCATCCACTGATGAACAAACATTTTTCGCTGAGACCATGACGTCTGTAATGGAGACACTGACGTCTTCAAATAAACCGCAAGTATCTACCACTGATGTGCAATTATCTTCTAGTAATTTATCGACATATACACCTGAGGTACCGACGTCTTCCACTGTTGCGCCGACGCAAATCACCGAATTACAGACAATGACTCCTATGTCAACGTCAGAGGCAATTACTTCTTCCACTGAGTCAATAACGTCTTCCACGTATGAGCCGTCGTTTACCACCGATACGACGGCGTCTTTCACCGAGACAATAACTACGTCCGATAAGGCACTACAGTCTTCCACTGAGGAACAAACGTCTTACACCGAGGCATTGGTGTCTACGATGAATTCGCCGATATCAACCACAGTGTCAACAGGTGTATCGACATCTACCACTGAGATAATGACTACTTCCGTTGAGGCCCTGTCGACTACGATAGAGACAATGACGTCTAACATAGAGGTACGTACATCCACAACTGAGGCACTGACGTCTACCTCCAAGGTATCGGTGTCTATCACTGAGCCAACGGAGTATACCATTGAAGCAACAATGTCGTCCACTGAGACACCAGAGTTAACCACCAAAGTATCGGCGTCTACCACTGGGGCATCGACGTCCATCTATGTGGCAACAGCGTCTTCTACTAAAGCAACGCCGTCTACCACTGAGACAGTAAAGTCATCTACCACTGAGGCGTTGGCGTTTACCACTGATGCAACGATGTCTTCTTCTCAGACGCTTAAGACTTCTACCGAGTTTCCGATATCTTCCACTGAGGTAACGGCGTCCTCCGCTGAGGTGATTGCGTCTACCACTGAAGCGTCAACATTTACGGCTGAGACAAAGGCGCCCTCTCCTCAGACACTGACGTCTTCAACTGAGGCAACATCGTCTGCTGCTGAGGCATTGGTGTCTACCGCTGTGATAAAATCGTCTACAACTGAGAATCCGACATCTGCCACTAAGGCAACGGCCTCTTCTCAGACACTGATGATTTCAACTGAAGCAACGCCGTTTATCACTGAGAAATCAGCTTCTAACACTGATACATCGGCTTCTTTCACCGATGTATTGGCGTTTACGACCCAGGCAAAAGCATCTGCTACTGACGCGCCGATCACTACCAACGATACCTCGACGTCAACCATTGAAATAACGGCATCTTCCACGGAGGAAATGTCGTCTACCTATCAGGTAACGGCGTCTTCTTTTGAATCAACTGAGGCAACAGCGTTTACTACTGAGGCAACGGCGTCTTCTCCCCTGACACGGAAGACTTCAACTGAGGAACCGGCGAATTCCACTGAGATGGATTCTACCACTGCAGAAATGACATCTACTTTTGAGGCGATAACGTCTACCTCTGAGTCTACTGCTTCTACCACTGAAGACATGCTGTCTTCCGCTGATGCATTTGTGTCTCCCACTCAGGAGATTGCGTTTACTTCTGAGAGAATGGCGTCTACCACTGAGGCTACATCTGCCCCTGAGACTACGGGTTACACATCTGAGGCATCGGCGTCTTCCACTGGTGTAACAGCATCTTCTACTGAAGCAATGGTGTCTTCAACTGTGGAAACGGCATCTACCTCTGAGGCGATGGCGTTTTACACTGAGGCAACGGCGTCTTCACCTCAGACGAATACTTCAACTGAGATACACGCGTATTCCACTGAACTAACGGCGTCTTCTACCACTGATGCAATAACTTCTACCGCTGCGGTAACTTTCTCTTCTCATCCGACACTGATAAACGCAACTGAGGCAACGGCCTCTACCACTGAAGGAATGGCGTCTACCTCTGAGTTATTGGTGTCTTCGCCTGAAGCGATGGCGTTTACCAATGCGGGAATGACGTCAACCATTGAGACTACAACATCTGCCACTGAGACAACGGCGTTTACCAATCAGGTAACAGCGGCTTCCACTGATTCAATGGCATATACAAGTGTAACGCCGGGGTCTACTACTGAAACACCGGCGTTTACCACGGAGGCGATGACGTCTACTACTGAGGGATTGGCGTCTTTATCTGAGACGATAGCGTCTACAACTGAGGAGATTACGTCTACCACTGAATCAACGACATATTCAAATGAGTCAACGGTATCTTCTCAGAAACTGGTGACTTCAACTGAGGCAACGGCATCTACCTCTGAGGCATTTGTGTTAACCACTGAGGTAACGGCATCTACAAGTGAGAGAATTTCCTCGACCTCTGAGGCGATGGCTTCTACCACTGAAGCAGCAACATCTGCCACTGAGACAGCGGCGTCTTCTTCTCAGACAATGGTGACTTCAACTAAGGCAACGACGTCTGCAACTGAGGAGTCGGCTTCTATCTCTGAGGCATCAGCGTTTACCACCGAGGCAATAGCATTTACTACTGACGCGCCGATCTCTACCACTGAGACACCAACATCAACCATTAAAGTAGAAGCGTCTACATTTCAGGTGATGGCGTCTTTCACTGATTCAATGTCATCTACAAGTGTAGCGCAGTGGTCTACTACTGAAACACCGGAGTATACCACGAAGACATCAGCGTCTTCCACCGAGGCGATGACGTCTACCACTGAGGGAATGGTGTTTTCATCTGAGGCAATGGCGTCTACCACTGAGGACAATACGTCTACCACTGAAGCAACGACATATTCCACTGAGGCAACGGCGTCTACCTCTAAGGCATTTATGTTTACCACTAAGGAGAAGGCGTCCTCAAGTGAGAGAATTACGTCGACTTCTGAGGTGATTGTTTCTACCATTGAAGCAGCAACTACTACATCTGAGGTTACGTCGCCTTCTCATCAGCCACTGATGACTTCAATGCAGGCAACGGCTTCTGTCTCTGAGGCATCGGCGTTTACTACCGAGGCAATAGTATTTACTACTGACGCACCGATCACTACCACTGACACACCAACACCAACCATAGAAGTATCGGCGTCTGCCATTGATTCAATGTCATCTACAAGTGAAACGCCGGAGTCTACTACTACTTCAACACCGGCGTATTCCATGGATGCCTCAGCGTCTTCCACCGAGGCGATGACGTCTACCACTGAGGTGATGGCGTCTACCACTGAAGCTACAACATCTACCACTGAGACAAAGTCGCCCTCTCCTCAGACACTGATGTCTTCAACTGAAGCAAAGTCGTTTATTAATCAGGTTGCGACGTCTTTTACCAATTCAATGCCGTTTACAAGTGAAACGCCGGGGTCTACTTCAGAGGCATCAACGTCTAACACCGAGGCGATGACGTCTATCACTGAGGAAATTACGTCTACCACTGATGAATCGGCTTCTATCACTGAGGCATCGGCGTTTACCAAGGAAGCAATTATATATACCACTAGCGCGCCGATCCCTACCACTGAGATACCAACGTCAACCATTGAAGTAACGGCGTCTACCACTGATATAATGGCGTCTACATTTCAGGTAAAGGCGTCTTCCACTGAAGCGATGCTTTCTACTACTGAAACACGGGCGTATACCACTATGGCATCGGCGTCTTCTACTGAGGGAATACCTTCTTTCACTGAAGTAACGACATCTTCCACTTTGGCAACGGCGTCTTCTCCTCAGACACTGATGACTTCAACTGAAGCAGTGCCTTCTTTCATTGAAACACACAGGTCTACCACTGCGACACCGGCGTATACCACCGAGGCACAGGTGTCTACCACTGTGGTATCAGTGTCAACAACTGATGCATCGGCACCCTCCACTGAGACACCAACTTCTACCGATGAGGCGCCAAAGTCTACCACTGAAGCGCTGAAGTATCCGACTGAGGCGCCGACGACGGCTGCTGAGGCCACAGTGTTTACTGGTGAGTCATCAGCATCAACTATTGAGCCAACGGTGCTTCCAACTGAGGTAAAGCTGTTCACCACTCAGGTTACTGCTGCTACCGCAATGGTACCGACATTAACCCCCGAGGCACTGACATCAACCACTGAGGCAACGGCGTCTTCTTTTCAGACACTATCGACTACAACAGGAGCACCGGCGTCTTCGACTGAAATAATGGTGTCTGCTAATAAAATTACGGCGTTTTCCAATGAAGCAATGCCTTCTACCACTGAGACTCCAGCGTCTTCCACCAAGGTACAAGTGTCATTCAACGAGGTATCGGCGTTAAACATCACAAATGGAATAACATTTACAACTAAACCAGAGGAGTTTGCCACTAAGTCGTCGATGTCTTCCACTGAGGCAACGTCTTGGACCACTGAGTTAACGGCGACTACCACCAGAGAAACGATGTCTACAATTGAAGTAACGGCTTCAAATGCTAATGCATCGAAATATATTACGGAAACACTCATGCTTAATTCTGAGGCACCGCCGACTTCCACTAATGGAACGGTGTTTACTACGAAGGCATCAACGACTACCACTGAGGTGCCGACATTTGCCATTGAAGCAACAGCACAATCCACTAAGGCGATGGCGTCGTCTATGCAGACACTGACAACTTCAACTGAAGCAACCGCTAGTAAAACCGCACATGCTATGCCTTCATCAAGTGCATCAGGTACTACAACACATTCCACGACCTCAAATCGTACTAAGACACATGCAAAACCTAAAACAATTACTACCACACATGCCATGCCTATATCAAGTATTACAACACACGCCGTGTCTACAACAAGTCCAACACCACATGCAATGGCTACATCAAGTACTACACCACATACCATGCCTACAGCAAGAACTGCCACGCATACCGTGCCTACAACAAGTACTACCACACATACCATACCTACAACAAGTACTACCACACATACTATACCTACAACAAGTACTACCATACCTACAACAAGTACTACCACACATACCATACCTACAACAAGTACTACCACACATACCATACCTACAACAAGTACTACCACACATACCATACCTACAACAAGTACTACCACACATACCATACCTACAACAAGTACTACCACACATACCATACCTACAACAAGTACTACCACACATACCATACCTACAACAAGTACTACCACACATACCATACCTACAACAAGTACTACCACACATACCATACCTACAACAAGTACTACCACACATACCATACCTACAACAAGTACTACCACACATACCATACCTACAACAAGTACTACCACACATACCATACCTACAACAAGTACTACCACACATACCATACCTACAACAAGTACTACCACACATACCATACCTACAACAAGTACTACCACACATACCATACCTACAACAAGTACTACCACACATACCATACCTACAACAAGTACTACCACACATACCATACCTACAACAAGTACTACCACACATACCATACCTACAACAAGTACTACCACACATACCATACCTACAACAAGTACTACCACACATACCATACCTACAACAAGTACTACCACACATACCATACCTACAACAAGTACTACCACACATACCATACCTACAACAAGTACTACCACACATACCATACCTACAACAAGTACTACCACACATACCATACCTACAACAAGTACTACCACACATACCATACCTACAACAAGTACTACCACACATACCATACCTACAACAAGTACTACCACACATACCATACCTACAACAAGTACTACCACACATACCATACCTACAACAAGTACTACCACACATACCATACCTACAACAAGTACAACCATACCAACCATACCTACAACAAGTACTACCACACAAACCATACCTTCAACAAGTACTACCACACATACCATACCTACAACAAGTACTACCACACCTACCATGCCTAAAACAAGTACTACCACACATACCATACCTACAACAAGTACTACCACACATACCATACCTACAACAAGTACTACCACACATACCATACCTACAACAAGTACTACCACACCAACCATACCTACAACAAGTACTACCACACATACTATGCCAACAAGAAGCACTGCCACACATGTTTTGCCTACATCCAGTACTACACCTGTGTCAGTTGGTACCACAATGGCTCCAAGTGTAACATCACGAGAAAGAATCACACCAACAACAGGGACGACTACACCATGTAAGTATGATGAACGCCTGATATTATATTTTATTAGTTTTACTCATTGCATCAGTTGTATAAGCTTATGTTTAAATAAAGTAAAAATTTAAGCAGACTTTTGTTTTTGATAAAAAAATAATCAGGTACTTTTTTTATCAGGCTTTTTTATCCGTTGTCATAAATGTTCAAGCAAAAATCTCAATTCCAAATCCCCACACACCGTGAATGTATTAAAATGTACACCAACATAACAGTTTATTCATTTGATTTGAAACATATTTGTCAATTACATTTGCTTTTGTAATCGTCTGTAATACAACCATTTTTTTACTTCATTATTAAAGTATCAACATCAGAAGAAGCCACGCCTACATCAACAGCAGCCAAGCTCACATCAGAAGAAGTCACTCATGCATCAGAAGAAGTCACGCCTACATCAACAGCAGCCAAGCCCACATCAGAAAAAGTCACTCATGCATCAGAAGAAGTCACGCCTACATCAACAGCAGCCAAGCCCACATCAGAAGAAGTCACTCATGCATCAGAAGAAGCCACGCCTACAGCGAAGGTTATTGCACTTTTATCAAAAACAGCCACGCCCACATCGAAGGCTACCACGCCTATAACAACAGCAACCACGCCTTCATTTCAACCAGTTACGCTTACATCAGAAATCACCAAAACCAGGACGGAAATTACTGCGACTGAAAAGCCAACAACCGACTTTACAACAATAGCAACATCGGCTGGTAAGAAATGAAACACATTGTTATAGTGTATAAGCTTTACTCCAAGCTTGATTATTTTATAGCAAAAAATGCGTTTTCGTCCAAATGGAAAATCATTCAATTTGATTGTACCTGTCACAATCAGCAAATATGATTTTGTTTTTATCTAATCTAGCAAATGTAGTAAAGATTAATGTTTTTTATAAACTGGCTTGAAAAGTTCGATGAATACCTGTTATCTGAGGCTGGGCACATATGGAAAGTCATTCTAATTTATTGTCAATTATTTCCACACTGTTGTCGATGACAGCGGTACGATGGATACCACATGCTGCTTAAAGGCGAAACGTATTTGATTATCAGACAAGTTTGAGTGCTTGTTTAAAACACTAAAACACTGTAATACTATGTAGTGCTGTACACTCTTATGACAAAGTTCCGTGCTGAATCAGGACAAACTCTCTAACTATTTACAGTTAACATACCTGAATCTAACTCACATACACACTTGCAGTTTCACAATCGAATGTATAGGTTAAAAATGATTTCAATACGAAATGGTGTCAACTATTTATAAATATATTGAAAATATATTAAAATTATTATTTTTCAATGATATTAAAGAAGATGTGGAATTGTATATTTTAAACAAACTCTTATGTCGATTAAACCAAAAGCCACACAATTACATTTGCAGCCGCCATTGCTTCTACGACAGAGGCCACAACACCAAAAGTCATAACAACCACGTCTACGACAGAGGCCACAACACCAAGAGTCAAGAAGATGTGGAATTGTATATTTTAAACAAACTCTTATGTCGATTAAACCAAAAGCCACACAATTACATTTGCAGCCTCCATTGCTTCTACGACAGAGGCCACAACACCAAAAGTCATAACAACCCCGTCTACGACAGAGGCCACAACACCAAAAGTCAAAACAACCATGTCTACGACAGAGGCCACAACACCAAGAGTTATAACGATCACGTCTACGCCAGAGGCCACAACACCAAAAGTCATAACGACCACGTCTACGACAGAGGCCACAACACCGAGAGTTATAACGACCTCGTCTACAACAGAGGCCACAACACCAAAAGTCATAACGACCACGGCTACGACAGAGGCCACAACACCAAAAGTCATAACACCCTCGTCTACGACAAAGGTCACAACACCAAAAGTCATAACAACCACGTCTACGACAGAGGCCACATCACAAAAAGTCATAACGACCTCGTCTACGACAGAGGCCACAACACCAAAAGTCATAACAATCTCGTCTACGACAGAGGCCACCACACCAAAAGTCATAACAACCACGTCTACGACAGAGGCCACATCCCAAAAAGTCATAACGACCTCGTATACGACAGAGGCAACAACACCAAAAGTCATATCGCCCACGTCTACGACAAAGGCCACATCACAAAAAGTCATAACGCCCTCGTCTACGACAAAGGTCACAACACCAAAAGTCATAACAACCTCGTCTGCGACAAAGGCCACATCACCAAAAGTCATAACAGCCTCGTCTACGACAGAGGCCAAAAAACCAAAAGTCATAACGACCATATCTACGAATAACAACCACGTCTACGACAGAGGTCACAACACCAAAAGTCATAACACCCACGTCTACGACAGAGGCCACAGAACCAAAAGTCATTACGATCCCGTTTACTACAGAGGCAACAACACCAAAAGTCATATCGCCCACGTCTACGACAAAGGCCACATCACAAAAAGTCATAACAACCTCGTCTGCGACGAAGGCCACAACACCAAAAGTCTAAACAACCCCGTCTACGACAGAGGCCACATCCCAAAAAGTCATAACGACCTCGTCTCCGACAGAGGCCACAACACCAAAAGTCATATCGACCACGTCTACGACAAAGGCCACAACACCAAAGGTCATAACGACATCGTCTACGACAGAGGCCACAACACCAAAAGTCATAACGATCCCGTCTACGTCAGAAGCCACACCACCAAAATTCATAACGATCACGTCTACGACAGAGGCCACAGAACCAAAAGTCATTACGATCCCGTTTACTACAGAGGCAACAACACCAAAAGTCATATCGACCACGTCTACGACAGAGGCCACAACACCAAAAGTCATAAAGACCTCGTCTACGACAGAGGCCACATCACCAAAAGTCACAACGATCTCGTCTACGACAACCGCCACAACACCAAAAGTCATAACGACCCCGTCTACGACAGAGGACACAACACCAAAAGACATAACGACCACGTCTACGACAGAGGCCACAACACAGTCATAACGACCTCGTCTACGACAGAGGCCACAACACCAAAAGACATAACGACCACGTCTACGACAGAGGCCACAACACAGTCATAACGACCTCGTCTACGACAGAGGCCACAACACCAAAAGTCATAACGACCACATCTACGACAAAGGCCACAGAACCACAAGTCATAACGAACACGTCTACTAGAGAGACCACAGAACCAAAAGTCATAACGACCATATCTACGACAGAGGCCACAACACCAAAAGTCATAACGACCACGTCTACGACAGAGGCCACAACACCAAGAGTCATAACGACCACGTCTACGACAGAGGTCACAACACAAAAAGTCATAACGACCAAGTCTACGACAGAGGCCAAAATACCAACAATCATAACGACCTCGACTACGACAGAGGCCACAACACCACAAATAATAACGACCACGTCTATGACAGAGGCCACAACACCAAGAGTTATAACGACCTCGTCTACGACAGAGGCCACAACACCAAAAGTTATAACGATCTCGTCTACGACAGAGGCCACAACACCAAGAGCTATAACGACTTCGTTTACGACAGAGGCCACAACACCAAAAGTCATAACAACCACGTCTACGACAGAGGCCACAACACCAAGAGCTATAACGACTTCGTTTACGACAGAGGCCACAACACCAAAAGTCATAACAACCACGACTACGACAGAGGCCACAACACCAAAAGTCATAGCGACCACGTCTACGACAGAGGCCACCACACCAAAAGTCATAACGACCTCTACGACAGAGGCCACAACACCAAAAGTCATAACAACCTCGCCTACGACAGAGGCCACAACACCAAAAGTCATAACGACCTCGTCAACGACAGAGGCCACAACACCAAAAGTCATAACGACCTCGTCAACGACAGAGGCCACAACACCAAAAGTCATAACAACCTCGTCTACGACAGAGGCCACAACACCAAAACTCCTAACCACCACCTTTACGACAGAGGCCACAACACCAAAAGTCATAACAACCTCGTCTACGACAGAGGCCACAACACCAAAAGTCATAACGACCACGTCTACGACAGAGGCCACAACACCAAAAGTCATAACGACCCCGTCTACGACAGAGGACACAACACCAAAAGACATAACGACCACGTCTACGACAGAGGCCACAGCACCACAAATCATATCGACCACGTCTACGACAGAGGCCACAACACCAAAAGTCATAAAGATCTCGTCTACGACAACTGCCACAACACCAAAAGCCATAACCACCTCGTCTACGACAAAGGCCACAACACCAAAAGTCATAACGACCACATCTACGACAAAGGCCACAGAACCAACAGTCATAACGAACACGTCTACTACAGAGGCCACAGAACCAAAAGTCATAACGACCATATCTACGACAGAGGCCACAACACCAAAAGTCATAACGACCTCGTCTACGACAGAGGCCACAACACCAAGAGTCATAACGACCACGTCTACGACAGAGGCCACATCACAAAAAGTCATAACGACCAAGTCTACGACAGAGGCCAAAATACCAACAATCATAACGACCTCGACCACGAGAGAGGCCACAACACCACAAATAATAACGACCACGTCTACGACAGAGGCCACAACACCAAGAGTTATAACGACTTCGTTTACGACAGAGGCCACAACACCAAAAGTCATAACAACCTCGTCTACGACAGAGGCCACAACACCAAGAGTTATAACGACTTCGTTTACGACAAGTCATAACGACCTCGTCTACGACAGAGGCCACAACACCAAAAATAATAACAACCACGTCTACGACAGAGGCCACAACACCAAGAGTCATAACGACTTCGTCTACGACAGAGGCCACAACACCAAAAGTCAAAACAACCTCGCCTACGACAGAGGCCACAACACCAAAGGTCATAACAACCACGTCTACGACAGAGGCCACAACACCAAAAGTCATAACAACCTCCTCTACGACAGAGGACACAACGCCAAGAGTTATAACGACCTCGTCTACGACAGAGACCATAATACCAAAAGTTATAACGACTACGTCTACGACAGAGGCCACGACACCAAAAGTCATAACACCCTCGTCTACGACAAAGGCCACAACACCAAAAGTCAAAACAACCTCGCCTACGACAGAGGCCACAACACCAAAAGTCATAACGACCACGTCTACGACAGAGGCCACAACACCAAAAGTTATAACGACCACGTCTACGACAGAGGCCACAACACCAAGAGTTATAACGACCTCGTCTACGACAGAGACCATAACACCAAGAGTTATAACGACTACGTCTACGACAGAGGCCACAACACCAAAAGTCATAACGACCTCGTCTACGACAGAGGCCA